GGACACCCGCTTAATACGGACACCTGCTTCTAACGGACAGTTTTCTTTGTCCCGACAACTAAAAAGCTCATACATTTTCTCTTAAATTAGCCCGCTTAATACGGACACCCAGATAATGCGGACACTTTATCATGTCCCTTTCGTGTCCGCATTAACAGGGTTCCACTGTATTTGCAAAAAGTTTCAGCCATTCATTCATTTTCTGACACTTTTTATCTCATTTGGGACAAATTTTGGACACAAATTTTGGACACTTCACTAAAACATACCTAAAGTAAATTTACGCCAAACAAAACACTTATTAGACTGAAACAACATCTACAAAAATGATAGTTTTACTGCACACTAACAAGGAAATAATACGTATTCTATCAAGTCATTACATATCGCAAGCCTTGTCTCAACTAGAGTTTGCTCCATAAAAGAAACTTAAGCCTGGTTCTCATATGCCGCCAACATACCTGGGACATAGCCGCTGACATGGCCTGGGACGCCGTTACAGCATGTATGAACATTTATTGCCGAATCGTAATCTGTCCCAGGTGTTGACCACCAGCTTGGCTGGGAAGTTGAGCTGAGTTCAACTTCACAGGCAAGCCAGTGCTTGTTGGTGATTGTCAGCGATGAAACAATTTTATGTGAACATTATCTGCAGATGCAATGAACAACATACCAACTTGATTTTTCCCACAATCCATATTTACCGATGGAATGATTGAAAATTGTGCCAATGCGATTTGCATTTCATGCCAATTTGAGTACGTTTGCGATCCATCCCAGATGTGCTGAGGACCCACTACAACAGGTCGCCGAATGTTGGCATTTGTAACTATGTTGCAGGTAGGTCGGTGGCATTTGAGAAGCTTTGGTGCTATTTAAAAGTTTTATGCTGTACTGTAAATATTGCGGACGTTTAAAATTTTGGATGCTAAAAATTTTGAATGGTTTTATTTTTGGACACTTTTTTGTCTGAAATTAAAATCATCTGAAATGTTTTGCAAGTAATGTACTCCTGAATTTATCCTTAGTCAGAAAGTGTCTTACCTGAGGTTGACTGGGCACTGTCGAGGACTTCACAGTATCAGTTGTTGAAGTGTTGGTTCCTTTTTCAACCCACTCATTATCAGATTCCTACACAGGATATTACAAACAATTGCCAGTTGTTTATGATAATCATTAGTATTGGTTAACAAGAGTCTGGTGGAGGGCGCTATGGCTAGCCAGGGACAAAAAGGACTACACCTGTATGTCAAGTAAGTCATTAGTACATGTTTTATCATTATTATCAATGATAAATCAATAAAAATCCTTTTTTATGGTCAATGATTTGAACTTTAAAGTCCTAGCTACAAAATACACTCACTGATTCTGATGACTTCTCCTCTGTAACACTTTTCTTTTGCTTCTTGTGCTGCAGAAAACAGATGATCACATCATTTAATTATTTTGCAAGTCAACCAATCAAAAAAACTAAGTATGAGCAACCTGGGCAATGGCAACCTGTGCATAGGCAACATGTGCACAGGCCATCCATCAATCCATGGGCTACCTGTGCATGGACTACATAATGGGTTTCTGTGCATGAGGAGCCTGTAGATGGAGTACATGTACCTTTCTTTCTTTTTTGTCCTTTTTCTGTTTCTTCTCTTTCTTGTGTTTCTTCCTCTTTGATTTATCCTAGAAAGTGAAAAACACAACAGTTGAAATATAAAACTAAAAAGAGTTAAAAAAGTATTCATTGATTAAAAAAAGAAACCAACATAGAAGTTGTTGCAAGTCTCTTGAACACCACACCCCCCTTAAAAGCCTATCCCCTTGTCCCATCATGAATGACACGGTGCAGCCTGCCGCACTTAACTCCATCCAGTCCACTCTTTTAACCCTTTGAAACAGTTTTCCACAGTTCTCCTACCCCCACCCATAGATGAGTGGGGGAACCAAATCTTAAAGAAGCCTTTGGCTATCATGTTACAGAATTTATTTGGCATGTTTCCCAAGCTCCATTTCATGTCCACACAATCCTTTGCAATCCATAGTGAAGAGGCTCATGAAGAACGTTATAATTCAGTTAAGATGAAAGTTCAGATAAAGGATACGCTTTGACACAATCATTTCATCGAAACTACCTTGTCGTTGCTTTCATCTTCTGCTGTCAACCTCTCGCTCAGTGAAGGCAGCATCCATGAACTTTCCCCACTTTCAATGCGCCGTTCTTTTCTTCGCTGCTCTCGCTCATAGTCTTCCTTCGCCTGCATGAAAAAAAAAA